TCCTTGTTCCTCTCCTGTCCCAGTTAGTGAGCTGCGTCACCTTCACCCTCCCCCTCCATATTGTCCCCCTGGCCATTCAAGCCCTGAAATTCCTTAAATCTGCTTTTCTTTTCCCTCCCTACTGCCTCTGCCTGAGCATATCCTGTCTTCACTCAGACTTGGAAATAAATTCCAGCCCATCTTTCCCGTAGCATCAGAGTGGGCTTTCTTTGTAAAATACAAGTGTTTTTTCTCTTTCTTTAAAGTTGCTGGTGGCTTTACATCCTATTTACAATAAAGATCAGAGTTATTTGGCCCTGATGCATAACTGTGCATGTTTGTCCAGCTGCCTCTGTCTCTCTGTCTCTCCGTTTCTCTCTCTCTCTCTCTCTCTCTCTCTCTTTCTGTCTCTCGACTCTGACCATCACAAAGGCAGGGAAAGTCTGTCTCCCTTATCTTTGAATTTCCAGTAACTGCTTGGAGACACAAAACTTAATAAAGTTAATTTGTGCAAGCAGGCAGAGAAAAAGTATAAAAAGCAACCTAATTGTGAAACTTCTCCTGTGTAAGCAGACATGAAATCATATTCTATAGCTCTCATTACCCATTCATTCATCCCTGCTCTTAGCATAGTAGCAAAAGAATAGAAATCTTCTTATTTGACAATAAAAAAAAAGATATAACAAGGGTGGCACTGGGGTCTAAATATAAAATTTCCCTTATTGGATCTTTGTTCCACCATTTCCCAGGTGTGTAACCCTGAGTAGCAGTCTTAATCTCTGGGTTCAGTTTCACCACTTTTAAATCAGGGATAATAATAGCATCTGATTCCAACAGGTAAATGGGGTAGTGAGTCCAACGGGAAGTGCTCAGTGAATAGCTGTGCCTGTTCCTTCCACTGACTCCTTCTCTGAGCCTCATTTGTTAAGGGGTTGTGCACCTTGCTCATGAATTGATCGCCATGAACAGTCTCGCTGTGGACAATAGGAAATGTGTGTAGGTTTCCTAGAATAAGACAAAACGTATCTTTACTTTTTCCATGAAGGTTCAAACCATCCGAAATCAGCCTCACATGGAGGTGGGAACTTGACAGCTTCTGTCCTCTACCTTGTCTCCTTCAAGTTCTGTCCACAACCATTGTCCTCTCCAATGGCTCCTCGAAGAGAGGCATCAAAGCTTATAGCCCTCAGAAGAAATATCTTGGGTCTCACAGGAACAGCTGGGCTATCTGGCTTGGACATCAAGCTCCCAGAGTCCTAAATACTGATTTTCGATGTTATCTCAGAACTCATTTATTCACACTTCCTAAAGATACATGGACACAGCTGAAAGCACACATTCCTTTTAAACTTGATTTCCATAACTGGGCCACACCATCTATAGTAGGCTAAGAATAATTGCCATTTATAAAACATAATTCTTTCTTGTCTAGCATACTATATTATACTTATATCAATGTATGGTTTTGACCTCTACAAACCACAAGTTCATATTTTAACCTAATATTTGAATATGTTGACATGAGGAACGTAAATATTTAAGAATATATTACTACCATCTTTGTTTCTGTTATGGCATTTCTTCACCAATTTTAGGTGTGTGCATTTTCTAGAGACAGGGCCTCATTATGTAGCCCAGGCTGGCCTCACACTCATGATCCTCCTGCTTCAGCCTCCTGAGTGCTCATTTTTTTAATACATAGAGCTTCTAAGAAAACAGGCTGGCTGAAGGAAGGTCTCCTTTATCTTTTAAGAATCTTTGGAATGAAGCATCTATAAGATAAGTCCTTCCCTTGCTGATATTAACTATCTTTTGTAATGTCTCCTCAATGTATTTTTGTCAAAAAAATCTGTCCCTTTTTTTGAAGCAAGGTTAAAGCGGAGAAGAAATACAAGGGATACGGAAGACCCAACACCCTGTCACATAGTAGAATGACAATAATCATGAGTCACCTGATTCAACCTGTTAATCTGTGGAATATAAATATTTTAAAATATATGACTAGCATAAAATTAAAAATATATTGACCACCATAAACATTATGCAGAATGGAGCTCCGCATAGAACTTGAAGGAGTTGGGAATACAACCATGAAAAGTAGCGTGCGCTAAGGACTGTTCTCAGTCCAGAAGCTCTGTTTCTGGTCTGTGATGAACATAAAAAATTGAGAGTGAGTGTTTACAAGTGGCTGCAGAAAACTGACAGAGTAATTTCATGTCTGTTGAATCAAGTAATAAAAGATCTGAGCTTGTGTTTTGCATGTCTGATATTTTACTTCATTTTCCAGTAGTTTGTTTTCATTGTATTTTATACAGGTAAAGAAAAACCTGTCCTTTACTTATACTTAGTTTGAAAAGCACGCGAAAAGGTATTATTATTATTTTTGAAATTTTGCTTAAGAACCACTAAATTTCCAATTACAAACCAGTCCTAAGTGATTATTTGAGAAACACTTTGCCACAGTTTGTTTTGCATTAAGTAACTTGGTTAGCTAGCGTCACTTTGCCTCTGCTACAACATAAACATTCTTGGTGTTCCCTGTAAGTCCCAGGTATGTGAAAAGTACAGCTACACGGTAACATTTAGGAATCAGTGCAGCATTCTCACAGCGGAAAAGATGATATATTCCTGATTTCCAAATCAGAAAAGCTCTTCTGAGAATGGTGATTCTTGGTTTGAGCATGGTAACAGGATAGAGGTAAGAATGGACGCTTACGTAGAAGTTGCTTCAGTAGCAACGTTCGGAGTGAGTAAGGCGTGAGGGTACATTACCCCTCCCACGCAGTGTGGGAACCCAGTGGGGGTGTGAACAGAATGAACACGCCTTCGCTAATCTTCTCAGAGCGTGGTGAGCTTGGTCTCGCAGTACTGGATCCTTTCCATGCTGAACTCCAGACCACTGGTCCCCTTGGGCATCCAGCACCAACAAACAAATAAGAAACTGAATCCTGTTGACCAGCTCAGGGTCCCCATTTCCTTGTGGCTGTTTGAAATGATTATGAGGACAGTTCTGGGAGTGGTGAGAACTCTTGCCAGAACCCATTAGGGGGCTCTGCCAGGGCAAGGAAAGAGGAGGAAGCCAGGTTATTTGCTTTCTTGAGTCCAGCCTAAAAGATGCAGACCTCCACACCTTTCCTTGCAGCAGAAAGGCTAAATTATGCACATGACCTTTTTTTTAAGTTTAGAAATAGTAAAAAGGAAATAGACATTGTGAATAGCATGCACTAGGTAATCTTATTATGACTTTGTAATCTATTTTTTTTTTTTTTTTCATTTTGTGGCATATGCCTCCTGACCCAGAGTTCAAAAGGCAATTTTATGTACTTCCTTCTGCCCGGGAATCCTTGGAACAAGATTCTCAAACTTAAGCAATGTGCCCAGATATTAGTCCCAGCCCTTCCATTTTAGATCCTCCTTCTCAATTCTGAGGCTTTTTCCTTCTTCAGTGATTAATACCACAGATGAGTGGATCTTATTTCTATTTTAGAGTCACAGTTCTACCTGTGTTAGAGCTCTTAACCCAAGTGGTTCATTAATAGTGTAGAATGAGCTGGGGGTGTACCACACTGGTAAAGGGTCCTGGGTTCAAACCCCAAGACTGCATAAAAAAAAAAAAAAAGTTAGAGATGCTAATGATCACAGATAAAAAAAACACTTTGATTTCTAGCGCAATTTAGCATCCACTTCAACGAAATTTAGTATGTCCTTTGATTACAAAAGTAGGAACTAAACTTCAGAAATACTAGTAGTACTTATAATCTTGCTACTAATAGAAACGATAGCTTCATTATTTCGTTACAGGGGCTGGGGATTTAGCTCAGCGGCAAAGCACCTGCCTGGCAAGTGCAAGGTCGTGAGTTCGGTTCCCGGTACCGGGAAAAAAACAAAAAAACAAAAAACAAACATTATTTCGTTACAGTTATCACAGGTATAGTGAAATAATATTTAAGCTCATTATCATTGGAAAGAATATTGTAGATTAGTTATTTGATGTGTGGAATGATGTAGCATAATGACATTACTATATTGTGGCATGAACTTGTTTTTAAAATGCCACAATAATTGCACTGCAGTGTAATTGGTTTCCTTTGCAGTCTTGTGTACTTTATTGTATGCACTTATAAATATTATTCTGCAAAGGTATCGGCAGGTCCACCACTGCCAAAGGGGTCGGTGACAGAAAAAAGATAGACCTCCGTTTCTCAAAGGACAAGTATTTAACTATCCATCTACCACACAGTACAGTGTAATAGGCCTTAGGACCGAGCTGGAGGTGTACAGAAGCAGAGAAACCTTTGTCTTTGTCTTTTTCATGAGGGGCAGGTGAAAAACTGGCATCTGCTTTTATTTAATTTAATTTAATTTAATTTTTATTTAATAAAAATCAGTTTATTCAACTGATGTTTGTCAAAGTTGGCAAATTTTGACTATTTCTGCCCACATTTTGCAGGGTGGCAATTAAACATTGAAAAGCATTAGAAACTTATTTGACATACTAAGTATCTTGCTTTTTTTTTTTTTTTTCTTGGTCTTTTTGAGACAGGGTCTGGCTATGCAGTTCAGGCTGGTCTTGAGCTCACTTTGTAGCCTAGGCTGGCCTCGAACCTGCAATGATCCTCCTGCTTCAGCTTCCTGAGTGCTGAGATTACAGGCGTGCTCTACCACGCCGGGCTACAAAGTATCTTGCTCTTAACTGATGTTTATTATATTTTTCTTCATTTCTTCATGTTATGAGCATAAAAAGAAAGTATTCAAGAAAGAAAAACAAAATCTACCCTTACTCCCGTTAGTTGACCTTAGGTAAGAAATAAAAGTGTCTAAGTTCTGAGGTCTGTAGTCCAGAAGAAGTCTTGCTGGAAACAGGATTCTTGCTTCCTCCCATCTACAGCGTGTTATAAAAAGTAGCAACTTCAAAGGGAACTATTTACAAGCGGAGTCTCAGTACGGTTTTTCCTAAAAAGGCTCTTTGCAGCCTTAGAAGTTTCTTGCTGCAAAGTCTTTCAGGAATAAGGCCACGGGGAAGGTTCGCAGAGGCCCGAGGTCTGGGCGGCGCGGCCCGGGACAGAACCAGGGGGAGGGAGCGCGGTTCCCCGCCCAGGGGCGGGTCTGGGGAGCTGGGTTTGCGGGGCGCAGGGCCAGGCCCGGCCCGGCCCAGGGCGGAGCTGCTCTCCGGATCCCAGGCGGGGCCGGGAGCTGGCACCGCCCACGCGCGCCGCCCGGGCCCAGGAGTCTCAGCGGTGTGGCCATGGGGCGGCTGGTGGCCCTGGGTTTGCTGGGCATCGCGCTGGCACTGCTGGGCGAGAGGCTGCTGGCGCTCAGGTAGGTGGGCCGGGCTCCGGGGCGCGCCCCTCGATCCCCAGGCGGGGCGGCGCAGGGTCCCCGAAGGCTGGCACCGCGGGGCGGGCAGGCCCTTCTGCTTGCCTTGGGTGCTGCATCTCTCTCCTCAGCCCATCCTTTTTACTTCCTGGAAAGTTTGCAGGCCTCTGCTGCTTAGCGACTTCCTGCGGCTGGCTGGGTTGGCAGGAGGAAGTTTTGCAAAGACTCCAGGGTGAGCCCAGTACTTTCACTTGAAAACAAAACAATTCTGCATGCAGTGAGACTTTCCTGACCAAGGTTTACTTCGGGTCACTGGTGCCGCCTCCCTCGATGGCTGGAAACAGTCCCGTCCTTAACAAAGTTGCCCTCCTTCCCTCGCCTGTGTTTTGGAGGAATGCTTCAGCTGGCTTAACCTGGTCCAGCCTGCAAAGCCCCTTGAGACATCCTCTGTTCTTACATCACTTCCGTATCCATCTGTTACCTGGAATCCCCGCAGCCACAAGCCGGACATCTCGTAATTTAGTTACAGTGGAAACTTTTTGCTGGTTAGACATCATGGTGCCTGAATTACCACTTCAAAGTTTATAAGCTTCCTGCAAAAGAGTTCCGAAAATATTGAGCACTTGCTGTGTGGGACACGCCTAGCCATACGTGAGACCCCAGTGTTGTTTCACTTTATGTAGGAAGGGAGAGAAATGAAATACATGTCTGAGATGCCACGACCAGGACAGGCAGAGTTGAGCCCTGTAGGTTTATAGGAAGAGATTACCTCCTGCTAATTTCCACTGGCAGGCCTGGTTGCAACTGATAACCCAGATGGAGGAGGCCATCGGACAGGGGCTAAGGTGGGAACATTTGGAGACCAGTAGATGGACCTGCTTGAGGAGAGCGGGTGGGGAGAGGTTAGCAGAGACACTGGAAGGGTAGATTTTGGGGCTGTTCAAGGTCCGTGGAAAACTTGGCCCTTTCTTTAATAGGCCCAAGAGAAGCATCCGTGAATTGTTAACTGTTCAGCAAGAACCAACCAAACCAGCTTCGCATTACAGAAATGAGCTGCAAGGGGCTGGGGATTTAGCTCAACGGCACAGCGCCAGCCTGGCAAGCGCAAGGTCTTGAGTTCGATTCCTGATACCGGAAAAAAAACCAAAACCAAAAACAAAAACAAAAACAAAAAAAATGAGCTGCAAGCATAGAGCAGTGCTTCTCATTACACTGGGATCTATCTCCTCGGAGGCCGACATCTGGGTGGCACTACCAGAGAGGCTGACCCAACTGGTCTGGGTGGGACCCAGGCCCTGTTTTGTTTTGTTTTGTCTTGTTTTTCTTTCCTACTGTTCTGGGGTGTAGCTCCGTGGTAGAGCGCTTGCCTAGCATATGCGAAGCTCTGGATTCCATCCCCATCACAACGAAAACTCCTGATTATTCCAATATGCAGTCATGGTTGAGAAATACCAAAAGAGAGAGTGGACATAGGGAAACTAGTGCAGGTATTCCAGTAGTTCAGCAAGGATAACAGGGACCCAAACTATGACGCCACGGGTGAGGGAGAGGTCGAAAGTGATGAATCTTGCCAGACAGCTCCAGTGCCCCGTAGCTGTAGCTTCCTCTACCAGTAAAGCAACGATAGGAGTGCGCATGTGCGTGCGTGCGTGCGTGCGTGCGTGCGTGCGTGTGTGTGTGTGAGAGAGAGAGAGAGAGAGAGAGAGGGAGAGAGAGAGAGAGAGAGAGGTTCGAATGCAGAAAGAAGGCCAACAAGCAATGAACACGTTGACTTTAGTTAACATGTTATGTAAACGCTCATCCTGGTTCTGCAGATCTTTCACAGGGTTTATTTTTTTGTTGTTAAGTTTTACTTTAGATTGATGCGTAGTAAGTGTACGTATTTATGGGATGAATGTAATACATTGCATAACGATCAAATCTGGGTAACTAGCGTAGCCATTAGTTTAAATATCCTTAATTTGTGTGTGTGGTAAGAACGCCTGGAATCCTTTCTTCTACCCATGTGAAACATAGGTTATTAAGATAGCCACCCTGCTGTACCAGAGAGTGTCAGAAGGTATCTAATTGTGTCACCAGCGTTGATTGCCACCTCCTACCCTCCAGCTTTTGGTAAGCGCTATTGCACTCTGACTACTATTAGAGCAGCATTTTTAGTTTCCATATATGGCTGAGATTGTACAGAATTCATCTTCCTGTTCTTGAATTATTTCACTTAATATAATGTTTCCAAGGTCATCCATGTTCCAGTACTAAATGGTTGGATTTTATTCTTTTCTATGGCTGAATATAGTGTCTCACTGTACATATATACCACATTTTCTTTACCTGTTGATCTTCTAATGAACACTTAGATTGTTCCGTTCACTATGTTTTTTTTGTTCTGTTTTGTTTTTGTTTTGTTTTTTTTTTTTTTTTGGTTTTTCTCCAGTACCAGGAACCGAACTCATGACCTTGCGCATGCCAGGCAGGCGCTTTTGCCGCTGAGCTAAATCCCCAGCCCCTGTTCCGTTCACTATGGTGAACAGGGCTGCAATAAACATGGACTGCAGATGCCTCTTTGAAATATTAATTTCATTTCCTTTGGCTATAAACCTAGTTGTGGGATTGCAGGATCATATATGATAGTTGTGTTTTAATTTTTTTGAGAAAACTTCATATTATTTTCTATAATGACTTTGCTAATTTACATTCCCACTCACAGTAAAGAAAAGTTCCCTTTCCAGGCTGAAGATAAAGCTCAGTGGTAAGCATTTGCCCTGAGTTAGAGCTCCAGCCCTGAAAAAAAAAAAAATTTCCCTTTCTCATCCATGCTCACCAACACTTGTTATCATTCATCTTTTGGGTAATAGCCATTCCATCTAAAACGAGGTGGTGTCTCACTAAGGTTTTGATTTGCATCTGCCTAATAATGAGAGGTTTTGTTTTTGTTTTGCTAATGAGTCATTGGAGTTCCTTCTGTATTTTGTATATTACCCCTTTATCAGATGTCTTGCAAATGTATTCTGCCATTCTGTAGGTCCTGTCTTCATTCTACTGACTGTCTCCCTTCCTGTGCAGAAACCTCTGTATTGTTGCAGTAGTAGATTCTCTGCTTTTGTTGCCTACTCGTGAGGTCTTTTTAAGTTACACAACTGTATGTATGTTCTATACAGCTCTCGGTTTTTTGTTGTTGTTGTTTTGTTTTTTGTTTTTTTTGTTTTTCCAGTACCAAGAATCGAACTCACGACCTCACACTTGCCAGGCAGGCGCTGTGCCGCTGAGCTAAATCCCCAGGCCCACAGCTCTCAGTTTAAAAAGCAAGACCACCAAATTTTACCAGCATATAACATTGCCACTGATGTGCAAATCACCAGTTGAAGTTTTCTCCATTAATGGTCATTTTTTCCCATTTTTACTAATCTTAAGGTTTTAAGTCCCCTTGAGTGATAATGTTACAGTTGCAAACCAAGGACAAGATCAATAAGGCTTACTGAAACATAGTGTACTGACAGGTGATTTACAATTTGATGCAACTTTTTGCAAAGATTTGACTGTGGTAAACTTTGAAGAGCCATAATTTCTTTTTTTTTTTTGGTACCAGGAATTGAACTTAGGACCTTGCACTTGCCAGGCAGGCGCTTAAGCCAATGAGCTATATCTCCACCCCGGAAGAGCCATGATTTCATGGGTTGATAACTGCTGGACAGTTCAAGCTCCAGATGGGCTGGGGTAGGGGCGGTGGTTCAGTTAATCAAACAAAAATAGAGGATGCCCTGTCCAGTTTGAATTTTAGATAAACAGGTACACAATGAATCTTGTTCTAGCATAAGTGTGGAATACTTCTGCTTTATTTTTATTATATGCGTGGAATTTGGAACATAATTATGCCAAAGCATCATTCACTGTCTGAAGTTCAAATTCATTTCGGTATTGAACATGGTGACCGTGCGACTCAGGAATAATGGATGTCCATAGAGGGCGTGAGGTGCTCGGATGCATAGCATTTCTCTCTGCAGACCCCGGGAGTCTGTTTCCAAAAGCAGCGCGTTCCCAGCTTCCCGGAAAGAAAGGCTTTTCAGACATGGGTGAAAGGACGGAGGCTTTTGCTTTTGCCGGTTGTGTCCCTAATCTGGTGCCTGCTATTTAATTACTCACTTTTTAGTGATGGGACTTTGTCAGTTATTTCCCCCACGATGCCCGCTTAAATTTCAACTTGAAGTTCAGATTAACAATAGATGAATTTGAGTCTGTCCCAGATGGATAAATGTTATGAAGGTTGTCTTTTTCCTTCTGAATGTATCTGGCTAATGTTCTCAGGGGAGGATAGCATTCCCCACCCACCTCTTCTACCCATCCCCAGTTGAGCAGCAAAGAAGAATGTAGAAATAAACAAATGTTCCCAGGTTATTTGTTCCCTGAGGCAGGATACACAGCCTTGGATGAGTCAGGAGACTGGAGGGCATCAGAGATTTGCTTTGGAGTCAGCAGGAGCTGCTAAAGCATGTGTGGTGATTAATACCTTTTATTACAACCCCACTAAGAAGCACTGTAGCCTGTTTTGGAACACTGGGGAGGAGCTTTTTTTTCCCTGTTAACCACTATCCTCCTTATCATTTATTGTGTGGCTGCTTATTATTTATTGTGTGACTCTTGTGTGCTGCTTACTGTATCAAAAATATAGAAAGTTGGTTTGTTTTTAACTTTTGGTGCCGGGAAACGAACTCAGGACCTTGCACTTGCCAGGCAGGCACTTGTGCTGCTGAGCTAGATCCCCAGCCCTGAAAGTTCCTCATCCTAACTCAAAATCTGTATATCGGGCCAGTTGGAAAGTATGTCCCTTTATTTTGTCTCTGTTCAATCTTCATGCATATCTTTCTTTCTCTATTACCCATGCAAATATGTGGTTGGGCGAGGTGAACTGGTTACTTCAACAGCTAATTCCTTCAGGCTGAGCCTTTACTCTAAGCCAGGTCTTCTGCTTCCAAATACAGCTGTCTCCCACTCTGCACCGCCTCCTAGTT